GCAGCAGGTTAAGCAGGTCATTCCAGTTCCTCCTGGGAGATCCCCAAGGCGTTTCAAGGCCTGATGAGATATATAATCTCTCGTGAGTTCTGGATCTCCTCCTGATTGAATGAAAGAAACAGAAAACCCCCAAAAGGAGGTATTAGATGCGTAAATCACCTCAGAAGGGTTAGGGTTAGATCTGAAGAAGCAGCAGCAGCTCTATTCTGAGTTTATTCTGAAACTCTTTTCATGCTGTATGGCATTGCGACGCTCTGAAACGTATTCATTCCAATGACGTGCGCCATGCAACAACAGTTTGCTGCTGTGAGTAAAGTGCACCAGTTGGCAAGTTTGCTGTGCTCAGAGCTCAACTTTGGCTACGTCGTTCTTTCGGTCACTACCCAGAGCTCACGGATGAGGTTTGGAAAGTGGACCAACTAGTAAATGGACTGCACCAGTTCATTACATTTTTCTACCCCTCCTGAACAAGAGCCCCTTCGCTTCAGGAAGCAACTCACCCTCAACTCGGACAACTCAAACTTTCTAATCTTTCTAGAGCTTAGATTTTTTTTTTTTTAGACAATACTAGGCTTTTATGACTAACTTTGGAAGATTTTTCAGTCATTTGTATTTTTTTTTTAATCAATCCTAAAATTCTTTATTGTATGACATACACTTATTTGGTTTATCTTTGTGTTTGAATCGCTCTCAGATGACATGTGCTCATGCAGTACATTTCTGACACCTGTAAATTTACTGTGTGCTGACAACTGGAAGAACTTAGTATAGGGTTTTGTTTACAATTACTGGAGAAGGCCTAATTTGCACACATGCCAGAGAGGTTCTGCTGGCACCCTCTGATGAGTGACTTTTCCCACGCTATATTGTGCTGGTGCTATAAACACTACATAGAATCTGCACATACATATAAACACTACGTCAGTTTTTCCAAATCAACATCTGAAGACCGGAATGTCCTTAATAAAAGGGAGTTTGAGTGATCCGCAGAAAAATAATACAGACAAATGAATGGAGAAAGCAATGCATTGCTGGCTTTTGCCCCTTGTCTTCTTATCTGTTTGTGATATCTAGTTTGGGTACATCCAACTTGGAGGGGACCCCGAGGTAGATCAGAACTCGCTAGAGGGATTTCATATCCTGCTTAACCTGATGCAGCCGCTCTACCACAACTCTTGATAAACAGAAACAAATGGATGTATGGAGGAACGCGAAGTGATATGAGCTCTGCTTGTATTTACCTGTAGGCAGTTTTCTCCTTGTCTCATTACTGAATAAGAGCTGCATTCACATCCTTTATTCACTGTAATACAGACCTGGGATCACTGTTAAATGTTCATCAGTGATAAGCAGAAAAAGTTTGCCTTCAACCTGCTTCATGTTATCTTTGCTATCAACAATCCCCTCCAGCATCCAAAACTTGTAGGAGAAAACACAAGCAGCCTTTTTCTGAAAAATGTTTACACTGCCTTACTTGTTTTGTCTGACTCTGCTGTCATTGCCTTCTAGGCCATTCTGCAGCTCTGCTTCTCTACATTCATCCCCATCACCAATGTCAAGGCCCTGTTAATGGGTCCCAAAGGAGCATCTTCAATTTATAGGGCCTTATCCCCATAGATCTACCGAGGCGACAGCATTGAAGCCAAAATCTTCATTGTACAAAGTTTCTGCATTCAACTCTTTTCCGAAATGAACTGTATTTGACATTTTACAATCTGGCCCCAGCAAACTGGCATGCACAACAGCGCACACAATGAGTCCATTACATCGTCATAGTGCGTTGTTTTTATTTGTGAAACAGTAAGTCAAACTCACAGCAGGAAGCTCAGAGGGATTTTCTCCTTCCTGTTGTGGGTGGACCACCAGAGCATCAGCTCCCTGCCGATCTGGAGACACACACTTCATTAACACCCTATTTCAGGAGTATCCCTCGCAGACGCAATGCAACACAGAAAATACCTCAGAGATTTGCTTGTCGGCCTCATGACAATTTCTCGAGTGGGTGTGTTGAGAAGAATTCAGTCAGTTGGCTCGGACGTGGCTGCTTGGAACATCTCATTGCATTAAAGACGTATGAGATGTCCGAGTAGAGGTGTAATGAACCTGCTCAGTGTCTGAATCAGAGAGGTAAAAACTCTCAGCTGCAAAGGCTCATTAGGCCAAAGACAGTACTATAAAACCTACGAGAGAGCACTGAAGTATGCGTGTGTGTTTGGAAATGTAATGTGGCTGGGAAAAATAGGCCCCTCATTAACACTGCAGGATGCTCCAGCAGTGCAAGCGGGGCCCCTTATGCCAGGCATGAGAGAACCGACAACCTGAGGAGGATCTCTTCAGAGTTTCCGAAACGTCATGCTTTCTCCTTTCCTTGGGCAAGGAAACCAGCAGTGCCCTGCCTGCTTATGAGAGATATGCTTGTGGTTACTTTAATAGAGCAGTCTATAAAAATGCTGTTGTTTTGCAGCTACCACTGCACGTTACAGCTGGGATTCCCTGGAAAATACATGGCCTGCAACCCCCTGAAATTGGCTACATCGGGGAGAAAGCACTCTCGCTCTCCTGGAAAGAAGTTCCACCTGTGTGTAAAATCACAGATTCACCAACATAAATGCTTCCTCTGCATTAATAGAACAGCAAGAGGTGTGAGAAGGTTTTCCCTTGTGCTACTACATCTGGCCGTTGTGCAAAATAAACTCTTGGAAAGATGCCATGCAGTGTATTGTAACACAACAATACACTGCATGCATTTACACATATTCTGTTTTAGGCACATTGTCATTTGACATTTTATTTTAATATGTTTATAGTGTTACAATGTCAGAGAAAACCCACAATAAAGACAGACACAAAGATATTGCTGACATTATAAATGACATTTAAATAGATAAACCTAAATAGTTAATTAAGCACTGGTGCCAGGCATGTTTCAGCAGATTATGCTGAAACATTTAATTATATATTAGATGCTTTACATTGTGTTCATAAATTCTCATACAGTAGGCAGCTGCTCCTTTTGATGCCTCGTTGAATGAATAATGCCATAGATAAACAAACACATATTCATGATGTTAAATATTTCACAAAAATGAAAAGGAGCTTTACTTGCACAGCTGGAAATTTTTCTTCTCATTAATTCCGGTGCGAGCACTGGGTTCTGGAGACATCACCTCCTGGTTGTGTCATGAATAATTCAAGGACACGTGAATGACAGTATGACGGAGCTCCAAAAGACAAAACTACATTCAGCAGAGCTTTTTTTTCAAACATTTATCTGCCACCAAATTAAGTCTCCTCCACAATTTGACTCTAAGTATCAAATCAAGTGAAGCCTTCATGCATTCAAGTGTCAAGTAAGTTGAGTCCAAGTGGAGTTGCAAGTTTAACCAGCTTGAATCCAAATCTCAGTCCTACAGCTCTGATGCTGAATGGTTGCCAAATATGCATGGCTACACTTAACGTTCAAGAACACTGAAGAAGTTTATGTTACACTTAGAAATGAAATGGTGCCAGTCCAGTTAATTTCACCTGAGTGTGATTACACAGACTCTGTGGAGAAAACTCATTGATAATTGGTCCTTTGGCCACCATGCTAAGCTCATGAAAACAGGGGCAGATGGTCATCAAATGTGTGCTGCTGAACACAATTTCTGACACAACTTACTGCAACTTTATTAATTACACTGCATTCTTAACTACGTTTTAAGGTAAACCTATTTTCTACCAGATTACATTTGTTTGTAATGCATGACAAATATGTTTTTTCAGGAAAAAATGTATTGCCGTTTTTTTTGTTGCTTTACTGTTGCTGCTTTCAGATGCCAGCCAGTCACATGGTATCTAGGGCTGGACTTTTTACCCCGGTGAACCAGAAACTAGAGAAGAAGTCATATTTTAACCCAAGCTGTGACCCATTTCCTAACCTAACCAAGTCATTTTTAATGCCTGAACGTATCTAAGCTTATATCATGCAGCTATCATTGTAAAAGTGTCAACCAGGCCATGATATTCGCAGAAACCAACAGCAAAGTGAAAAAATCTAAAGTACACAATGAGTGAAAATGAAGTTTAAGTCAAGTTCTGCTGGTCACCTGGGTGACATTGCTGGTTTTGCCTCTAACCTCTTCTCCTCCCACGTTAGGCAGATATTGCGGCTGTTGGAAACTGGACGCCTCGTTTACATTTCCCGCAAAATGTAATTGAGAATGCAATGTAGTTGCACAAGGTGGTGGAGTAAGGATTGACTCACTGATGTCTTTTCTATAAATCTAAATGCAGATGCTACTTTGGTCACGGTTACGATTAAAACACTCGCCAGATGAGCGGTCTTTGTGACTGAAGCCCCTGCCATCTGTGCCCCAACAATAAACCATCTGTCAAAGTCACTGTGACCTTCTCCTCTTTGCGTCTTGGCACAAAAAATCTGAATCTACAAGGCCAACTCACTATTTTTATACATTCTACCGAGCAGCACTGGATGCTACTCAACTGTAGTGGAAGTGGTGATCTGCATTCTTGTTACTACACTCATTTTTTCTTTGAATTTGTCCCCCATCTGTAGGATTACCTGACATACCTCGGTTTTTCGGGAACTACTTATTAACAGTTTGTTAGTTTTCAGGTCATTGCACCTTCCTCAGTGATAATCGGATATTTTTGTGTACCATATTGTGAAGTATTACTGTTTTATTATACCAACATCTGAAAGATTATGATAGCGAACCAATATCACTGTAAATCACAGCTTTGTTTTTATCAGATTTCACTTTCAATACACTGGGACTCTGTCAATAAATCACATCTGCCCAGTGAACTGACAGCTCAGCCGACTGGGATTAAAGCTCTCAGCATCCTGACCCTCAACCGTGCACTACGCCTAGATCTTATAGCTCCTCCCTTGGCTATATAATTTCTAGTTTAGCCGGGCTTCCATCAGATTACTCCCCACAGCATCCTCTTGTTTCACAGCCCCACTCCTGGACGCAGGGAAAAGAAAAGAAAAGATGCTGCCCACAAGCTGCGGTGCCAAGACGCGTCTGTCTCTATGGATTATTTTCCTCTGCGTGTCCATCGTGTGCGCCAGGAAGGAGCACGCTGATGCTGATGATGCTGATGAGTCCTGGCCGGAGAGTGTTTCCAGGGCGAGGTGTGCGTCGCGGTGCCTCAGCTTGCACAGCGTCGCTGCGCTCTCCACACCTCTGCAGGTAAGCGCACCGATGGCACCGGAGTGCGCACGCTTCCAACTCCTGTGCTTCTATTAAAGTAACCATTACCGGTGAAGTTACTCGGTCATAATGAGGTTTTAAACTAAACTTGATCTATATTTTGGATAATTTGATGTGAGATCTCACCTTTCTGGCAACAGAAGGTAGTTTCCAATCATTTGTATGAAACCTGAAGCTTGTTTAAGTTTGGAAATCACTGTCACAAAGCTTTGATTATATGTTAGCTGCTGTTAGCTTTAGTTACATTCCAGTTAAAATTCATGAATTGAAATGTTATCAACCCTATGGCCAGGTCTGTGCAAATTGATTTTCATACTGTAATGAAGTCAGTGGCTGGAAATGATTAGCAGTAATGTAAAATCCACTTTAACATAAAAAAACCTGGATGAATTTTTTCATTCATTTATTTTCATTACAGCCTTTGGTTTAAAAATGAACAAATCCTTCGTAATGTGGTGATATGTTTCTCTGGGGATTCACTGCTGTAGACCCACTGACTAAACAGACATATCACAGTGAAAACAATGTCAGTGTGTAAAAAATGGGGGTGTTAAATATTGATAATAACAACTTCAGTCACTCAAGTCATGAAAAGTCCACATAAACCCCTCCTAAAACTTTCTGACAGACAGGGGCCACAGCAGACAATACGGCTTGTTATACTGATTATATTGTTCATACAGATCCCTCATGTGTCAGTAACTATCTCTGCACTCACACACACACACACACTGAAACACACACAAAGAGAGAATGCCCCTCTTTGCCTCTTTGCTCCAGGCTTTAGAGCAGTGGGGGAAGCTTTCTTGTACACTTACTTAAACCAATGATAACTGCACACAATGATGGTCCAGTCCACAAAAGAAGAGAAAATCAGACTAAATCATGCATGCTGTGCTGCTGTCTTTGCCACTGCTTGCTTTTATCTGCACTAAACTAACAAGTAGACGACTGTAAGTAGCTCCAAGTGTTCAAAACTGCAGCTCTGATGTATCAGTCAGTATTGGTGCATCCAGCGTCCTGGAGGAGTGAGCCAGTGACGGTTTGTGCAGCGCTGTCAGCTAATTGACTACTGAAGTGTGAAACGCACTCACATTGACTTTATGGATGTGGGATAGATTGGGGGAACGTCCAAGTCAGACCGCAACTGGGATCCTGCCTCCAACTCTGCATGTGACTGATGGGACAGAGTCAGTGTCAATATCCAGTTGTTCCTCCCCCCAGTATCCTGTCATGGAAAATAAGTCAGCAGGACAGTTTATCAATGAAGGCAACATTTTATCTACATACATGTATGTTGGACCTTCAGATGCTGCTAGAAGATGATGATAACTTCACTGTGGTCTACATATTTATATTGTTACTATTACATTTATACTATTAGCATCAGTTTCTCAGTGCTGATTCCTATTACAAATTGACCGATTTCTTTTCTCAAACATTTAGGCTTCTGTGAAGGAGACCCAGTTAAAGCCACTGTTCCCATCACTGACTGTAGTATTTTCCACTTTATCAGGTTCACATTTTGACTTGTCAGTGTCACTTAAATCTCTTTTTTGGGGCATTTTTCTTGATGTAATCAAGCTGCTTAATAGTTATGCACAACTTATTATAAGGTTTTAATCACTTAAAGTCACACCATCTCTCATCACACAAACACACATCATTAAATCAAAAAAACATTCAAGTTCATAGGATTTGGAGTTGGAAAATGAGGCTAGGAATAATAATGAGGTAATTGTGCATGCAGTTTAAAGAAAAGGAAACTGTCACAAATCTATTGACGCCATTTCTTTTTTTAATACTTTTTGCTTTCAGTTTCAGGTGTCAGACTAACTTATTGGTTTGACATTTAAACAAAGTCAATAGAGATAAAGAAAAAAAGAGCAGTTTGACACATCTGAAAAAAGGAGGTGTTAGTGCAAAGCTCTCATGCCAGATGGTTTGTCTGAGAAGTCATCCTTGGAATTGGAAAAGGGCGGGCACTACCAAATAATACTTGGCAGGTGATTGGATGAACCATCTGTCTTTCACCATCCATCATGAGCTCACGTGCAACTAAAACACACTCATAGCTGCCATTGGTTCCTCATAGGATGCTGATTGGTTCGTCAGAGTCCAACTGTCTTGTATAGCAAAGTTAGAGCAGCTGTAACTGGATCTGGAGGTGAGAAAGTAGGAAGGGCTTGACCTTAGATATCTTGTACTTTTTATTTTCTCTTAAACAATTACGGTGATTCTACACAACAACAACCTTTGCAGAAAGTTTGTCCAATCAGGCACAGTGTACCTGTTATTACATGTTATTACTGCAGAGCTGCCAGGTCGATTTCTATATTGTCTGAGCGGCTCCATTGAAGCACAGGGCAGTGATTTGTTGAAGTGTGGCTCAGTTAGTCTTATGAAAGTTCAGAGAGGAGAAGAACAACCTTCACTTCAATAATCCGCAACCCCAGAGGAGACAATTTAACTCAGCTCTCCATCAATCACGCTCTATTTACTTATTGGCAGAGCAAATGTCAGTGTTTGAAAGGCCACACGCTCTTGTCGACTCTGTCAGAAAACCACCAACACAAATAACAGCGTGTAATTCCATGATCCTCCACCTCCGTGTTGATTTATGATAATGCTTCTTTCATTATTTCCGCTAGATGTAAAATGAAAAATGCACGCAAAACACTGAACTAATGCTCAGTCTTGTATATCACAAACACAAGAGCAAACAACTAATCAAACATGAAATGATTGAAGAGGATTTCGTATTCCACATAAAATGGCAAGCCCTGATGTGGAACCCTCAAGGAAAGAGAAGAGGCTGGCCAAAGAGCGCTTGGCGAATGGATCATCAAGGGGCTTGGGTACACTTGGACCCAACTGGAAAGAAAAGCTCAAGACCGGGGTTATCTGGAGTTCCTTTGTCAAAGGCGTATATACCAGGAAGGGTGTCAGGGCATAAGAAGAAAGCCTGATGTCGTAGATTCTGACTTCATAATTTACGTATAGTGCCAATGCAAAACAATGAACATGCAGTACATCATCCGATGTTGTCTGAGTCTGTAGTGTGTCACAAATGTGCAGTAAATGTAACTTTAAAACCCTAATCTGTGGTTGTGCAGAATCAGACACCAACCTCTATACCCAAAATGATGCAAAAAAAACAAACAAAAAACTAGCAGTGAGTGGCAAATTCATGGATGGAAGCACTTTGTTGGTGAAAAAGGTCAAAAGTGGAATGTCCAGGCTTGTTGGAGGTGCCAGAAAGACAACAGTGAACCTTGATGTGGATGGGATACAAAAGCAGAATATGTTGGGTTGGCTCTTATCAGGGAGAAATCTGAGGCTGCAGGGGACACAGGTTCACCAAAACTGGGCTGTTGAAGACTGAAAAAACATAGCTTGGTCTGACAAATCTAAATTTCTGCTAAAGCTGCAGCTGGTAGGCTCACAATGTGGCGTAAACAGCATGAATCCATGGACCCAATCTGCTTTGTGTCAGCAGTTCAGGCTGCTAGTAGTGTAATGGTTAGGGGAATGTTTTCTTTGTACATTTTCAGCTCAGAAATACCCATCAATCAGTTTGAATGCAGTCTGTCTGAGTACTGCTGCGTAGAATGTGCATCCCTTTATAGCCTCAGTTTACCATCTTCTAATGGCTGCTTCCAGCACCAAGTAACAAAGCATAAGTCATCTCAAACTGGTTTCATGTACATAGCCTCTCCAGTCAGCAGACGTGAATCCAGTGAACCTACTTAGATAGATTTAGTGTGTTAATGTGCAGCTGACAAATCTGCAGAAGTGATGTGATGCGCTCATGTCAACATGGTCACAAATCAAAATGTAAACAGCTTTACAAGCAGTATGCGGGTGTATAGAAGTACATGAGTGCTGGGATAAATAAGTAATGAGTTACTTTAGTATACATTTTGGAGGTAGTTTCTATACAATATATGCATGTGGACATGTTTATGTACAGTATATCCAACCAAGTTAAAATTATATTGAAGATAATACAGTCAGAGATGTTGCTGGGTTACTACCCAGGGACAAGAGACAACTGACAAGTAAGGAGTGTTCCTCTGTTTGGTAGCTGAGACAAACAAGACAGTGATGCATACTGATGTGACACTGAGAATCAGAGCTGTAGCAGCAGCTCCTGAATCCCTTTGAAATATCTGACCTGTTCACCCAGTAAGAAAATCGCAGTGGATGCAGCCTGAAGGCCTGTGATGTCCTTCAGGTGGGTCAATCTCTTTAAGGACTTTATGACCAATGCTGTCAGGGCAACAAGTCTGCTAATTGCACACTTCCTTCACCAGCTAAGGAAGACAGCTAAAGATCTCTGAAAAAAATTCTATGTGAAATGTTGGTTAAAAAAAAAAGTTGTGGAGTGAACTGTTAGATACTCAAGAAACAGTTCTGGTAAACATAGCAGGACACCTGACTGAACAAACACAAAAGGAATCACTGACAGCTTCTTCTGAAGTGAAGAAGCCTTTTGGGTGAGAGTTGAAACATCCTCAAGAAGTACAAAAAGAACTCCGGCTGCTTTCTACTAAAGAAAAGAAAAAAGAGAATGCGCAACACCTGGTCATCTGCTTCTGAAATAGTCCCCAACAAAATGACTTTTTCCACTTTAGGCATCACGTCTTAAAAACTTCAGTGGCCCCCGTAATATAGAGCTGCAAAAACCCACAACAGATGTCAAGTCATCTCTACTGAAAAGATCAATTTCTCATAATTTAGAGCAATGCCAGCCTTATTCTTCAAAATGAGATCAGATGTGTGAGTGAAGAAGGACAAACCTGCCTGAAGCGTATAAACCTGGAATGAGGATGTACACGTAGCTCAAACCGAATCTGATGTATCCCTTGAGCTATTTTAGAGGACTGCGTGGCTTTTAATATGCGACACAGATAATCGGTTTAGCTTAGAACGACGGTTTCATATGTTTACTCAACACTTTTACAACCTACAAGATGAAACGCCGCTTTGTTTCTCAAGTCACACTGAAAAATAAATGTACTGTACAACTGTCTCACGGCTTGACCAGTGATCCTCGATCTGCACTCATTATTTTGCAGCAAACGGCCTCGGGCTCTCTGCAGGGAGCCACGAGGACAGTCCCACAGACTGGAGAGTAAAAAATGTAATTTGTCTTCATACAGAAAAATATCAGTTGCGCTATACAAAGTGTGAACTCTGGAGCTGTGTAATGTTCTTCTGACACACTGTAATTACGTTGTTTGCCTCTGAGCTGTGACAGTACGAACCTATAATTAGGACATTAATATGTGTTTCTCTGCACTTAATTGAATTAGACCAGCTTATTCATTTGTGCTTGTCTCTTTGTCTCCCTCTTTTTTTTTACTCCCCTTCTCAGAATAATGGATCTCTGGGCTGGTGTCATAATCATAAACAGTGCGCAAAGGTAAGTCATCTGTGGTTCTGGATTTTGCTTAAATGACTGCACTCCTTCAAACTCACAACATTCTATTGTTCATTTACCTCTCTTTGGTTTCCTGAAGTGTTCACAGACTTTCTCTAGAACAATGACACCATCTATAAATGCCCTTCAGAACATTTGTTCAAGTTCGAGCCCACTCTAGCAGCCATTGAAGTTATCACGAGTCTTAAAGCCCCCATATGGTCTTTAAGGGCCAATTCATTGATGATTGATGTGGACTTTGAAAGCAGACACAAATTCATACTATAATGTTCTAGGGCTTGGTCCAATTCTCTAAAGACCGAACATCTGCTTCACATTCAATGTACTTCTCTCTAAACTCAAATTGTAAGGTCAAAAAATGCCAAATTTAACAGCATTTGTGTTGCATCAATGTTACTCACTTCTTCTTCAACTATTACTAATTTAGAATGATTGTTTGTGTGGGAGAGAATTAACTTTTCTTAAACACACATCCTTAATTCGAGTTGCTTGGGATTTTTCTGCAGATGGTCTGCACTTATTTTGCCCCTTTTAACCTCAGCTAAGCTCTGCAAAGTGCTTTTCAATATGCTTCTCATTCACCAATTCACGCACACAATTCACATCAAGGTTCAGTGCCCAGAGACACTTTTGACCACTAACCTTGTGATTAGAGGACAACCTGCTCTACGGTGAGCCACGGCGGCATTTTGCATTGTTAATTTGCCTGAAAGGCTGCAGCTCTGCACTTTTTACATGGTAATCACAGATTGAACTGTAGCACTGTGCCAATGTGATTATTTCCGACGTGTACCGAGCACAGTGAGCAGACATAGCACAGGATTTCTGGAGAAAATCGTACAGTGTTTGGGCACCATCGATGGAAATCATGTACAAATCAAATCACCTCCAAAGTCTTGCAGCAACTGTATGATTTGCTTCTCTCAAAGTTATACATTCTAACAGCGTGGATGATGGATAATCTTCCCGTACCGCCTCCAGTGAATGTTGGTTTCCATTAACTGCTGAATCTTTCCATCTCTTGTTTTGTCAGTCACAATTTCTGACTGCTGTGCACCGCTAAAGGTCACGCTGCAAATAGTGCGACAATGAACAAAATCATCCTCAGTCTTGGCTGCTGCATTTTTAAAATATGTTTATTACAAATTAATTATGTTGTAAAAATGCATTCTAAACTGCTTTTGCTATATTAAACAAAAAAAATGTAGGAAAAAAATCAAGACAACTACATTTTTGCCACACACCGCGTTTCGTACACTCTGTTACATACCTGCAGGACATTTTGTATATTGATATCATGCACAGATGTGAATTAAACTGCTTCTTTTAGCTGGTCAGTCTAAAGATAGGGAGTCATGTGGGACTGCTGGTGCGTTTCGGTGTAATAAATCACTCTACCTGTGCACATTGTGTGTGTGTATGGGAGTTCATGCCTGCCTAGATGCATGTTTGCCAGAATATGGATAGCTTTATGTGTGTGTGTGTATTTGTGCTTCTCGAGGCAATAAATCAGCCCACATGCAAACCAGTGACAGTGTGCTGTGTGTGTGTGTGTGTACACCTGTATGTGTTACTGCATGCTGGTGTACTATACTAGTTATTGCTTATTTCTCAGCTCTGCCATCCATCACTGAACTTGGCTCTTTATTCTCTGACACTCTATACATCATAGCGGTTTCCCAGCTCGTACATCAACACTCATGAAAGAGGCAGACTGTAATGATGGACTACATGCTTGGCAAGCTCTCTCTATATTGATATTGAGTTTACATCAAAAAATTTCCCATGATAACTTTCATCAACTGATGCTCAGATGGTTATATTTCTCATCCGACGACTCAATCCTGATGTTTTTTAGATCTTTTACAGCGTCCACAAGGGATATTGTCTTGTTGTTGATTAATGGAGATATTAACACGCTTTAGCAGCCTCTCACTTTGGTAACTGCGCCATCCTTGAGAACGATAATTGTGATGACATGTTGGGGCTTCAGACGTCTCCCCAGCTGCATTATTAAGAGCTTCTAAAGTGAGATTTCCAGGCCCTTTAATGAACGATCACAGGGAGGAAAGTTTTTAATGCCGGCACGAATTAGTTGATGATAGCAAGAAGCACTTCATCCTGTCATGTGTGTTAAGCACAGCAGTGCTTTTAATTAGAGCATGTTCTTTTGATTGACAGAGGATCATACATAAACAGTTAATGCATAAATTATATTCTTGTACTGACATTGTGTTGGAATCTTAAACATCCTTCTCTGACATTCTACCACCTCCACCTTTTATTTGGGATCATTGTAGATGTATTAAGAAGCTATAATGAAAAGTATTTTACCTTACCTGCTTTACTGCATGAAAGCAGTGTGTTCTCATTGTATTATATTTTTAGGTTGTTTGCCCGATCTCATCAACTCAATATCTCTTGAATGCCTTCAGGGAATTTCTTCAAATGTTCACTTGGACGCGAGGATGAACTGATGAGAATCCGGTGCTTAAAGGTCACTAAAACCTGTCAAAACATGTTTTTTTTGGCCATAACTCAAAAATTCATACACTAATTAAATCAAAATCCCACAAAAATGTCCAACAGGATAAAATGATGACGTAATGACGTTCTATATCAAAAAGGTATCAGCTTTGTTGTGATGTTATAAAGATACTTTTCTGGCCTTTATTCAACTCAGGAACAGAAACAGAGATCGTGTTAGTATTTTACATTATGTTGGATACTGAATATGTGACAGAAATCTTAGATGCCTTCTTTGAAATTGTGTTTTTTTTTTATCTGGATTATTTTTTGGTGTCTGAAGGTATTTGTACTGCATCCATGTTTTACAATTTGCATCTTCTTTGCAGCAACATTCAAAGTCTGAAAGTAAGTTCATCATGTTTCTGATTGGAAATTATTCCCTGGAGTCATACATGCAAATATAGTGATAATTTCCATTTCTCAAAAAATACACTGGAGTTCTGTTGGGTCTAAGGTTGCTTTCTCACTTGTAGTTTGGTTGACTTGGTCCAGACAAGTCATCAGTTTGGTGAGTGAGTTCAGCGTATTGAGACTGACGTTTTGATTTCTATCCGCACCCATCTCTTGTGCCTGAGCAGTGTCAGCCTTTAGAGGTTTTTAGTTTGGAGAGACTTCTAAATTATACTCCTGTTTAATGGCGGTTAATTGTGAAATGAAAGGCTCTTACAGCGTGATGAGAAATCAATCCATTCCTCTAAAGGATATCACTGCGTGCAATTTACCCCAGAGCTGCTTGGTTCCCTGTGCACTTAAGTTTTCATCAGCGTACAGCAGCACAGCTTTAACAGTAGATGTGGAAAAAAACTGTCAGCCCTGCAGTGACAGGTGCTCTGTGCCCTGAACTCACAGCTGCTTCATCTTGTCTGCAGCCTTTTGATCAAAGGCCAGTTTGTATTTGCGGAAGCTGTAGGTTTGCTACGTCAGAGAGCTGCGTTTTGTTCAGATGTGTTGTCTGCAGTTTTATAATATCTGATCTGTTTTCACTGTCAAGCACTGGCTTGCCTCCACTCTTCAAGGCTCCCAAAGATGTGGTTTTGTTGGAATAACATTTTGAGTCTAAACCGATTGTGAATTCTAGTACCGACTGAAAATATCTGATATTTTCAATAGAATATTTGGGCATGTTCTTAAAATTTGTCACATTTACATTTAAAATTACTTTTAGTGAACTGGTGCAGCGTAGAGTTTGCATGTTGTCACAATTAATGTGTGAATGTGGGACACCAGAAAGTGTTAAAATACTTTTGATGACTCATCTCGCACTTCAGGACATACAATAATATATCACATATGACTTGGAGCAACCTCATCTCCCAGAAATGTCCCCACCTTTACAACCAAACTGCATTCTTATTGTTGTTTTGAAATATATTTTCTCACCAAAAAGTAAGACTGTGACAAAGAAGGAAATGCTTGTTGTTTGAAAGAGACATAAAGTCTGCCGTAGGAAAGCTGTTTTAGCATTTGTCAGCTGTGTTTAACTGTCCGGAATTGAAATTA